GTGATTTGCAATAGGGAGTTACTGCTATTGAGTAATATGTAGATCACCTAGCTACCTCTGACTTTTCTGATGAGGATTAAAATAAATAAATAAATAAATAAATAAATAAATAAATAAATAAATAAAGTTACTGCAACCTATTTTCTGACTATTCACCATTGTTTCAATTACTTTTAATAGTTCTTAGGTGCTAATTAATTATCCTTAGATGTCTAATTATTAAAGAACATTAGATTCCAAATGATTCTCAATGTTAAAATAATAATACTGTGTTTCCCCGAAAATAAGACCCTGTCTTATATTTTTTTTGAACCCTGAAATAAGCGCTTGGTCTTATTGCCATGCAATCAAAAGCCCAATTGGGTTTATTATCAGGGGATGTCTTATTTTGGGGGAAACAGTATATGTGAGTAAGAATTCTTTAGACCAGGCTGTCAAACTCCCGGCCTGCGGGACGGTTGAGTCACATACTGGCCATGCCCACGCCTGGTTTAGCAAAGGGGAAAAAAGTCCAGATACGTCACATGACACCGCTGTGACGACGTGAGTTTGACACCCCTGCTTTAGACTAATAGAAGAAAAAAAACAGGTGTTACCGGTAATAAACTGATAAGAACAATGTGCAAATTCAAGAATTCATTTTAATTTAAGAGTGTTCTAAGTGAATCCCATTGATATCAATGAGAGAACACCATCATGCCTAAATTGGATTGACTCTGTTGTCAAATCTCCTTGGAAGCTCAGTGATAATCTTCCTTCAGTGCAAGTACATCTTCTAATTATGTTGTGGTTATTTAGGTTTATTACAGCCCTCAACTTCAGTGGGTTCTGGGCGGCTTACCAAATATAATACTAAATAAAAACAATTTCAAAAAATAAAACAAGGCAGCCCAGATTAAACAACCATTAAAACAAAGCATAACCTTCTTTCCCAAATATATACCATTCTTCCAGTGGAGAAATCCATTTTTTTTTTGCTACCGGTTCTATGGGCGTGGCTTGGTGGGTGTGGTGTGGCCTAGTGGGCATGGCAGGGGAAAAGATACTGCAAAATCCCCAATCCCTCCCCACTCCTGGGGGAAGGATATTGCAAAATTTCCATTCCCACCCCACTCTGGGGCTAGCCAGAGATGGTATTTGCCGGTTCTCCGAATTACTCAAAATTTCCACTACTGGTTCTCCGAACTGTTCAAAATTTCCACTACTGGTTCTCCAGAACCTTTCAGAACCTGCTGGATTTCACCCCTGCATTCCTCTTATATTTTAATTTATTACGACAATTTGCTGTGTTTAAGACTCATGCAGAAATAGGTTAGAAAGCACTAGTATTATTGTTTTTAATTATGTTTAATTTACTCATGGCCAAGTGTTTGGTCATAAATATATAATTAAGCAACATTTGCTGCCATTCAGTTCCCTAGTTTAATATTTTTATCCCTACCACATTTTTGGAAAGCGAAGTTGCAGATGGGTGAACTTCAGGTGCAGATTAAGTAAGAAACAAAATAACAGAAACAGACAAATTTCTGCATTGTTCTGTGTGTCCTCAGATAACTGAAAATTTTGTTTTTGCTGATAGAATTTGTTTAATGAATAAAAGCTCAACCAAGCTGATTAAACAAATAAAACCTAGCTTTGGAAAACTCTAAACTCTGTGTATTCACAACAACAAATTACCAAATTATAAAACTTCAAAATAACATCAATGTTTTGAAAATTGGAAATAACAGCATTCAAAGCCATCCGAATGAGAAAACAGGGTGTAACTTTCTCCGCCAGATGGGGCTGTTGCCCACATCAAACTGACAAGATTATTTTTCAGCTGGTTTCAGTTGCAAATAGCTTAATGCCAACAAGGTGAACAGTTGCTTTCAGAGATGCACATGGACTTTTTATATTCTGAAGTAATATATATTTGGCACTGAGGATATGATAGCAATGCAACAAATTGATAAAGAAGATGCCAGATTCTCTTGTGGAGATGGGTAGCTATAGAAATTCCTTACTGGTTTGGAAGTGCATGCACCCCGTGCGCGCACAAGCATTACTTATGCACACGGACCTTCTGCGCATGTGCAAAACCTTCTGTGCATGCGTAGAAGGTAATGAACATATTACTTCCTGGTTAAAACCAGGAAGTAACAACACTCAGGCGGGTGGGCGGAGCTTCGCTCTGCCATCACTTCCGGATCGCCGAACCAGCCGCCAAGATCGCTACCGGATCGCGCGATCCGGTGCGAACTGGGAGGATTTCATCCCTGATCTGAAGGATTCTGTTGTTAACATCTGTACTATAACAGATGTTACCACAAGCAATTGTATAAGATCTAGAATGAAAATAGTATCAGAACAACAGATGTCCAATCAGTTAAAGAAAATATGCAAAACAACGGATGCAATGGAACCCACTGATTTTATTGTGCAGCTTGGATGTCACCTTGTACCACAGGAATAAAGCTAGTGATTTGACTCACCATCCTATATTATTCCTATTGTTTTTTTATCAAGATACTATTGGTAGGGATGGAGGGAAGGAGAGAGGGAGGAAGGAAAGGAGGGAGGAAGGAAGAGGCTGAGAGAGCAGGGAGAAATGGGGGAGAGGGAGGGGAGGGAAGGAAGGAGGGAGAGATTTTACATTAGCTATACAAGTGATGAGGTAGCATTTCCTTTTTATTAGGCATCATCCAAAGAAGCCTTGTTAAAAAAAATCATAAGTTAGGCTTTGTTATCCCTCACATGGAAAGGAAACCAGGTGAGTGAGTACATTTGCATGTACACTTCCTTATGGGCCAAAAATATATGCACCTTATGCATATATATATACAATTCCTACATAGGTCACCGCAAAATGGTGCATCTGATCCTGGCATTGATCAAGACAAATGAACTTATCAGTCCATACTATTTCCAGACCAGGAAATATTTGCCTCAATATCCTCCTATCACTGTTGAATTCAGTTTTAAGTTTAGAATACCCAGAACTGCTGCTTGTCTCTGATGTCTTTTCACAGGTTAATTGAGTGAAGGAACATGTGTAGGGGATACATACTTTGCCCCAAAAGTATTAAGAAAAGGAATTTTTTATGAATACTATGGACTATTCCAATTAAAGTCAGTAATCTGGCAAGGGCCAGAGAGGATAGAAGGAAAGGGAGGGAGAGAATAGCAAATCAGGAGTGAAATGCTACCGGTTCACACTGGTTCAGGCGAACCGGTAGTGGCGGCGGTGGGTAGTTCGGAGAACCAGTAACGGCAGCAGTGTGAGGCTCCGCCCACCCGCCCGCACACCGTGTTTTTTACCTTCTGCGCATGCACAGAAGGGTTTGCGCATGCGCAGAGGGTCCAAATGTGCATGCGGTGTGTGCACTTCCGAACCAGTAGGGAAGATAAGTAGATTTCACCCCTGTAGCAAACACAGCATTAAAGCAAACAAAGAATGAAGCTATCTATACCAGAAGCTGGCCATTAAGTCAAAATTGCATATTAAGCAAAACTTAATTCAGCAATCACAATGACAACCAGTGACATAGCTGAGTCAGATAGAAGGAGCGCTATAAAGAGGAGGATTGGGCAAGAAATTGGTTGGAGGAAGCAATATATATATACAACCTCTGAATCTGTAGCTCATTCCCTCTTCCTTAAGCAATTTGATTGATTGCTTGATAAGAATTTGGTGACAATATGAAAGTAAAGAAGTATGTATATGAAAGTGCTTTGGCAAAACTTACAGGTAGTCCTTGCTTATTGACTGCCTCATTCAGCTATTTTTTGAAATTATGATATGATTGCCGCTCAGTCATGTGATCGTCACTCAGTCAGCAGTGCTAGGTTGCCCCCAGTTCCGACTGGTTCGCAAGAACCGGTAGTAAAACTGTCTGGAGGCCCCGCCCACCACCCCAGATGTTGACATCAGTGATCTGTGCACGCACAGAAGGCGTGTGCGCGAGCGATCTCATTGCGAACCAGTAGTAAAGGTAAGTAGAACCCACCCCTGTCAGTATGCATTGTTCAGTGTATGATCTCCTATTTTTCTTCTCTCCTTGAAGAGCAGAGAGATTGAAGAAGAAGGGATCACAGCAGAGTAAGCAGGCACATAATGGGGAATGCACAGCAAAAGCAATGTGCTTGTGTCAGCAGCTGTGAGAGTGCTAAACAGACAGCCTGGTGTATTCCCCATTATATGCCTGCTAACTCTCTTGTAATCCTCCTATCTTTTCCAATGAATGTAAATACAAACATCAATCCTCTTCTTGTTAATTACACAGTGCTCTGATGAGCATTCCATAGGATGGGGGAGAGAAGAAGAGGAAGCATAGTTGTAGTCATGTGATTTCTCACTTAGCAACTGCTTCATTTAATGACAGAACTTCCAAACCCAATTGTGATTGCTACATGAGGACTACCTATTTTTTTCCCTTCTTTTTACGACCCTTTAATCCCTTTGTTCGGAGTGGAGTCAGGGCGAACGAGTGCAGCTGAGCATTTACTGACCAGATGCTCTTCCTGACACCTATGCAGAGTTCACAACAGATATTTTCTCCTTGCACCCTGATGGAGAAATATCTGCCGCTGCCCATGATTGAATGCTCAACCTTCTGAATGGGAGGTGAGCGTCATCACCCCTAGGCCACTGCACCGTTCTAAATTATGTCCACCTATATTATACTCAATAAAGCTAAGGGTTAACAAATACATCTTTGTGTGTTGTCTTGTTGTTTTAGTATGGATCATCCACTCTTCTTTAGAGGTTAGAATTTTGTGGAAAAATATATGAGTGTCCTCTTCACATAAACTCCTGACCACTAACCAAGACTAAGTCTCCAGATGCCAGCTGTTCACAAACCATGGAGCATAGCAAATGGAGAAGAGCTGGTTACATGTGCCTCAGTGGATGGCAAAAGGAAAAATGAGAGATTGTAAGCGAAGTATAGTGTTTTATAGTTATTTCGGAAAGATAATAGAAGGGGCATTTCTCAAAAATACATATCCAAAAGACTCACTTGTTGGATAGTTTCTCAGTTCCTACATAAAGGGTATTCCTCATGAGACCAGCCCGAGTTCCCATGAAGGCCACCTGCACACCATCTTCAGTTTCACTGTTGCAGAACAAAAATGAGAGTTGTATAAGCAAGTGAGAGACAAAAATTGTAGAAAGGCTGGTTGAACTTCCTTTGTGCCTTAGGATCTGAACAGTGGTGGTATTCAAATTTTTTTACTACCGGTTCTGTGGCCGTGGCTTGGTGGCCGTGGCTTGGTGGGCATGGCAAGGGAAGGATACTGTAAAATCTCCATTCCCTCCCTACCCCACTAACCTGCTTTCCAGCTCCATTCTCCTGTGCAGGGCAACAAAAGAAGACCCAGCTGATCAGCTGGGACTCCAATCAGCTAGGTCTGGGGAGGCAGCGAATAGATGGGGGCGAGGCCAACCAGAGGTGGTATTTACCAGTTCTCTGAACTACTCAAAATTTCCGCTACCGGTTCTCCAGAACCTGTCAGAACTGGCTGAATACCACCTCTGGATCTGAATCTAGGGAAGACTGTATTTTACAGTAGTCAACCTGCTTTCCAGGCAAGATCACAAGTCCAATTTGTCTCAGCAATTCTGGATAAAGCCAGATCTATACCCAAATGGCAGTGGGATCCAGGACATGTCTCTTCAAAGAAATGAAGACTGTGGGAAGATCCTTATGGCCAAAGGTGATAATTTGTACAATACAGGTAAAAACCAAGCTGCTGTTGATCATTCATTTTGTATCAAATGAACTTTTTGAACACTATTTCTGGACAGGTATAGGTAGAATGCATTGCAGTAGTCTAAAGGTGGATTGTTTCAAAACGTCTCTTAGCTCAAGAAGTGTGTAATTACTTGGACATGGTGAGGGCCAAGGTCGTCCAATAAGCTTCCATAGGTGCTGTAACTACGGCATCGAAGAGAACCTGTTGAACTAACTCTTCGTCACCTAGACATGAAAAAGAACGGTAAGAAAGAAAGTCAATCACTGCACAAACATTGGAGTTGAAATCCAAAGCATATGGAGGACATAAGGATGGGGATTTGGTTTATGTATTTAACTGTACATTTAGAGCAACCTTAAACACTCAAAGAGCCATTTGGACCACCGAAAAGAAAACACCGGGAGTCACAAAACCTTCCTGTGCCTGACTATTTCTTGAGCGGCCACAAAACTAGCATATGTAGTTGAATTAAACGTTCTGTTTTCTTCTGAAACTTTTCTTTTCTTGGATTTATCCATGGTTGGCCTACCGGGGGTTGAAAAGCTCAATAAATCGTGTGCTGGCGGGTGTTGCACATTGGCGGTTGTGACGCATATTTTGAGTGACAGGGAGCCGCAGCAGAGTGGTGAAAGAGCCACATTCGGCTCCAGAGCCCCAGGTTGCTGACCCCTGATTTAGAGTCTTGGGAGACAGGACAAGGGGATCAATGACATCAAACTATAACCAGATGGCAGAAGCACTGCTTCTTTTTACGTACGTGTTATGCATGCAACATGTGTTAAAAAGAAGCGAGGCTTTCAATCACCCCATTTTAGCTGCCACAGTGGTGTCATTGTCACCCAAGCAATGGATGGTCTTGTATGGAGGCCCTGAAAACTAAAACTCTCTGAACATCCCCGTCTATCCAAAGTATATTCCTGAGGTTTTAAGATGAAGCCATCAGAGAGAATCTTGAATTTCAATAACAATGAGTCTGTTCCTAGAATTTCAGTTTGGAAATTCTTGTTTTAAATTCATCCATCCATTCTTTTTTCCCCCTTTCTCTATTTGCTCCATGGAATTATCAGGATTATCAAAATTTTCATACTGAAATATGGATGAAACCTTAAATAATGTATTAGTGTAATTCTCCCTGAATCTTCATTCCAATAAATAACTTTGCTGGTTTGAATGACACATGACACATGACATACTTCTCTAGGTCAGAGACCAAATATGCTGACTGGAGCAAAGCATGAAAAAGTAGTTTTGTAGGCAAACTGAATCAAGATATCAAAGAAACAGTGACCGTGGGAAATATGAGTTTAGAAAGGGTTATATTAATATTCAGATGAGAGATATACCACACCTGAAGTTTCTAGCTATTCAGCAATGATATTCAAAAGCACAGTTTTTAGTTACGACAATATGATTCAATTCGTATGAGGAATTGAATGATAAAAGGTAAATGTTCATCTGCTAGATTTAACTTGAATTGAGTTGAAGTTGCTAATTCTAATTTTCAAATAATTTGAAAATCAAGGAAGAACCATAATGAAAGATGATTAGGCAGCATGCTGATTATATACTGTACACGTTCACCGTGTAGGAAAAAAATAATTAAAAAGATATGATCATAACCACCAATTATTTGAAAAGATGTCACATAATTGTTGGAGCAAATTTGGTGTTTTGCTGTCTCGGAGGATAGGAGAGAATCCAGGAAACAGGATTTAGAAATTCTTGGTAATTTGGGCTGTGCCACATTGGGACAAATGTGCCTCAAAAGATGGTGGAGGAGCTTATATCAATGCTTTTAAGCAAAGAAATCCATTGAGCCCTATTATAATATCCTGGAATATGGCCACTATTGAATTATACTTGGATGGACCAATCTCGTATCTTCACAAGACTGTTCCTAACAGTTTAGACCAGGAGTGTCAAACTCGATTTCATTGAGGGCGGCATCAGGGTTGTGTTTGATCTCGGGAGGGCCAGGTGTTATGTGTGGCCAGGGGTGTGTGGCCAGCATGATGTCACTTGTGCCTGTGGCCCGAGCACTCTATCAGTGAAAACGGGTTCCTGAGCTCCGTTTTCAGCTGAGACGGCCTCCTGCAACCCTCTGCTAGAGTCGTGGTTTTCATTTATCTTCGCTACCAGTTCAGAATTGTGAGCGTGTGCACGTGATCGAAATGAGCGTACAGCGCTTCTGCGCATATGCAGAACCTTCTGCGCATGCACAAAGCATCCGTGATGACATCCGGGTAGGCGGGCGGAGCCTCTTGCCACGGCCGCTACCAGTTCGCCCGAACTGGGGCGAACCGGTAGAAATCCACCACTGCTCTGCTAGTGAAAACAGCTCAGAAGGGCTGTGTGTGGCCCTCATGAGCTCTGTTTTCAGTTGGGATGGCCTCCTGCAATCCTCTGCCAGCAAAAACGGATCTCAGGAGGGCCATGCGTGGCTCTCATGAACTCCATTTTCGCTGGCAGAGGCAGGCCGGTCCTTCGCTATTTCCAGGGTAGCCCTGTGGGCCAGATCTAAGCACCCCGTGGGCCGAATCCAGCCCACGGGCCTTGAGTTTGACACCCCTGTTTAGACAAAGTACTCACATTCAAGGTCAGGTTCTTCTGCTGTAATAAAACGGATTACAGCCTCCAACTGGCTTAGCTTCCTGTGAGCTGGATCAATATCTGTAACACAATAAATCCTGGGGGAAGGAGTATAAGAAAGAAAGAGAGAGTATTGCCACATATTCTCCTTTCGGGGTCTAGCCTGACGCACATAAGACTAAGCATAAAATATCCCACCTTTTCACAATCACTATAGAGAGAAGTTAAACAAGTGAAGAGGAAAAAGCTTAGGGAAACTAACCTATGTAGCCCATTGATCATCACCTTATCATATTCCAATATGGGCAATTGTTTGAACGACTCTCTTATCAGTGGTGAAATCTAAAATTTGTTACTACCGGTTCTGTGGGCGTGGCTTGGTGGGGGGGTAATGTGACTGGGTAGGCGTGGCCAATTTTATTTTTTTTTTACTTTTAAAAGCATTGTTTCTACAACCTCTTCGGCGAAGAGGTTGTAAAAAAATGCCAAAAGGCTCTGATGATGCTAGCTGAGTTGCCTGATCGCCAGAGACTTTTAAAAGAAAAAAAGGGTTTTTTTCTTTTAAATGCCTCTGACGATCCAAGCTGAGTTGCCTGATCAGCAGAGGCTTTTTTTCTTTTAAAAGGCTTTGACGATCCCAGCTGAGCCGCGCGATCATCAGAGGCTTTTTTTTTACTTTTAAAAGCATTTTTTTCCACTGAAGAGGTTGTAGAAAAAATGCTTTTAAAAGTAAAAAAAAAGCCTCTGATGATTGTGCGGCTCAGCTGGGCATGGGGGGGGGCAGGGATTTTTGCTACCGGTTCTCCGAACCACCCGCCTCCATCGCTACCAGATCGGGCGATCCGATCCAAACCGGGAGCATTTCACCCCTGATTCAGCCTCATGGTTGTAGATACCATCTTGACTTCTTTTTTTGATTTCCCGCTACCCTAACTTTAAAGAAAAAAAATTCGGGCAATAAATTTATTTAGCCCCTAGGATTACCCGGTTCTGGTATATACGGTAAATAATAATTTTAAAAATGGTAGAGTCACTTTTTATATCTGGTTAATATTACCTAAGGATATGAACACTTGTGCAGTGCTTTGGATTTGAAAGGCAAATGATGCTTCAAAAGGCACAGAATCACTCATGTCCAATAGCAGCTGTTGGTAACTCTTTAAACTAGGTGTGTCTTTTCTAGGGTTTTGTGACCACCCTTTGCAGCATAATCCAGGGAAAAGGCATAATTGTTTTAAGCAGTGACAATAGGTGCTATGCAGGGCCGGATTTTCCTATAGGCTAACTAGGCTTCAGCCTAGGGCCTCAAGATCAAGAGGGGCCTACATTCAAATTGTTAGCAAAATTAAAATTACACTTTCACTATAGGTGAAAGGGCCTCATAAGTGGAATAGCCTAGGGCCTCTTTTCATCTAAATCCGGCCCTGGTGCTATGTGCCACTTGCAGCCACTTGCATTTTGGTGCAGTTCAGATCAGAATCCAAAGGGTTACACCAGTGGTGAAATCCAATTTTTTTTACTACTGGTTCTGTGGGCGTGGCTTGGTGGGCATGGTGTGGCTTGGTGGGCGTGGCAGGGGAAGGATATTGCAAAATCTCCATTCCCAACCTACTCCTGGGGAAAGGATATTGCAAAATCTCCATTCTGTCCCCACTCCCGGGGAAAGGATATTGCAAAATCTCCATTCCCACTCCACTCTGGGGCCAGCCAGAGGTGGTATTTGCCAGTTCTCCGAACTGCTCAAAATTTCCTCTACCGGTTCTCTAGAACCTGTCAGAACCTGCTGGATTTCACCCCTGGGTTACACAGCCCAAATGAACAGACATGAGTCAGCCTTGCACCTAACTCAAGCACAGATTTAAAGCAGGGTCATTTGCTCTGGGACACACTATTTTCCCACGTTTTTGGGCAAAAATACTTTCTCTGCTGTATTTAATATCCTTTAATTGGGGAAGATTTAGCTGAGCCGAGCAGCAGCTCTTTAGCTTCTGCAGAAACATTTTCTCAAGGCCTCAGTTGCAAGCATCCAATGCAAAGTGTTCACCTTTCCCAGACAAGAATGATCAGGAAAAAAAATAAATAAAAATCTTACCACTCATTGGCTAAGGTCAAATCTGGCTGCAGAAGGTCATGCAAACCTGAAATGAAAAGGTTATGCCATTGTTATGACAGTGATTCCTTCTTTGTGACAAACATGCTTAATACTCAAAGTTTTCCACAAGAAATTTCCATTTGTATTGAAGGAGGGTTCAGTCTCTGTAGGATAACAGAAGGGAGGGTGACGGTTAAGACATTGTGTAATAGGAATATATCAGTGGTGAAATGTAAAATTTGTTACTACCGGTTCTGTGGGCGTGGCTTGGTGGTGGTGGGGTAATATGACTGCATGGGCATGACCAACTTTTTTTTTTTTTTACTTTTAAAAACATTTTTTCTACAATCTTAAGAGATTGCAGAAAAAAATGCTTTTAAAAGCCTCTGACAATCAGGCAACTCAGCTGGGATGGTCAGAGGCTTTTAAAGGCATTTTTTTCCGTACAACCTCTTCGGCCGAAGAGGTTGCAGAAAAAAATGCTTTTAAAAGCCTCTGACGATCCCAGCTGACCCACGCCATCATCAGAGGCTTTTAAAAAAAAAAACTTTTAAAAGCATTTTTTCGGCCAAAGAGGTTGTAGAAAAAATGCTTTTAAAAGTTAAAAAAAATAGCCTCTGATGATCATGCAGCTCAGCTGGGCATTGGGGGGTGGGCGCAGGGATTTTTGCTACCGATTCTCTGAACCACCCTCCGCTCTCACTACCGGATAGGCCATCCGGTCTGAACCGGGAGCATTTCACCCCTGGAATATATACACCAAGAATTTTGATTGGGTGGGAGAGGGAGGAATTCCCTGATTGGATATCTTAGGGAGGGAGGGAGAGAGAGAGAGAGAGAGAGAGAGAGAGAGAGAGAGAGAGAGAGAGCAAAGACAGAGAGAGAGACAGAGACAGAGACAGAGAGACAGAGAGACAGAGAGACAGAGAGAGAGCACCTTAAATGACTTTGATTTAGATGCAACATAGACATGAGGATTCTCAAGTACCAAATTCTAAGATTTTAAATCCTAACAGATGTTCAGATAATGGGAATGAAGTTCAGTAAAATGGGAAGGACTGCCCCATTACTTCAGTCTATTCTGAAACAGCAAAGACTGCTTTGTTTTGATAAAAAATATTATTCTATAAAGGGATCGAGGTATCCTGTACTTTGTCTGAGAGACAAAACCAAATAAAGTGGCAAATGAATCTTGACTGTTTGAAGCCATAGACTTCGGAACATCCATTTTGCTGAAAAGGTTTCTGACATTAGGGCTGGATATAATACACAACATAGGCACAAAGGAACTGTAAAAGCTTCATAAATGTATAGTGAGTGCCTTCCCAAGAAATATTTGGGTTTCAGTGGTGATAACTTAGTATGCTACCATATTTTCATTTTTTAATTTTATTAGTACTTTTCTTCTCCCTCCTCAAATATGTAGGAAGCTGAGTTCAGATTTTTAATCATTGTTTTCTACTCTATCAGGTTAGCAAATAAATACCTAAAGAGAGATGGAGAGCGTAGCCAAAGTAAAACACCATTAAAACCTAACTAGGGCAGAGGTGGTTTCAGCAGGTTCTGACCAGTTCTGGAGAACCGGTAGCAGAAATTTTGAGTAATTCGGACAACCAGTAGTAAAAATTCTGACTGGCTCCGCCCCCATCTATTCTCTGCCTCCCGAGTCCCAGCTGATTGGGAGGAAATGGGGATTTTACAGTAACCTTCCCCTGAAGTGGGGAGGGAATGGAGATTTTACAGTATCCTTCCCCTGCCATGCCCACCAAGCCATGCCATGCCACGCCCACCAAGCCACACCCACAGAACCAGTAGTAAAAATTTTTGAAACCCATAACTGAGCTAGGGTACAAGAAAGTTTTCTCCAATGTTTTTCATACAAGACTTTTACAAAACTGTGTCATATAACCGACCTTCTTCCACTGAAGTGTCCCCAAGCAGCACATATTCACCATATCCTCGTGACAGAACAATTCCCAAGCTGTGAGTTGGGGAGGGAAGTGGGGGACAATAAGGAAATAAAACAGAATCATTATGAAGGTCTATCTTAGTTTTTGCTGGTGTGGCATTCAAAAGATACAGGTTTCCCTGTCCAGTCGAGTCCGACTCTTTATTTTATTTATTTATTTTATTTGTCAAGAACATATTTGATAATAAGCATAAGCATGGATTGGATACATAAAATAGGTACAAATAGAAGAAACATTAGGACAGGGATGGTAGGCACACTGGTGCGCTTATGCATGACCCTTACAAACCTCTTAGGAATGGGGTGAGGTCAACAGTAGACAGTTTTAGGTTAAAAATTTTGGGGGTTTTGCGATGAAACCACAAGTCAGGTAGTGTATTCCAGGCATTGACCACTCTGTTGCTGAAGTCATATTTTCTACAATTGAGTTTGGTGCGGTTTACCTTAAGTTTGTATCGATTGTATGCTCGTGTATTGTTGTGGTTGAAGCTGAAGTAGTCATTGACAGGTAGGACATTGTAGCAGATAATTTTATGAGCTACGCTTAGGTCATACCGAAGGCGACATCGTTCTAAGTTTTCTAAGCCCAAAATGTCAAGTCTGGTGGCATAAGGTATTTTGTTGTGAGCGGAAGAGTGGAGGACTCTTCTTGTGAAATATTTCTGGACATGTTCAATTGTATTAATGTCCAATATGCAGTACATATTGGGTTCCAGACAGATGAGCTGTATTCGAGAATTGGTCTAGGAAATGTTTTGTATGCTCTGGTTAATATTACCAGAGAAGAAGCTACGCAAGATTAGGTTTACAACTCTTAATGCCTTTTTGGCAATGTTGTTACAGTGGGCTTTGGCACTTAGATCATTAGATATGAGTACTCCAAGATCCTTGACAGAGTGAGGGTCATCTACAAGGTCGTGTCCACTCAGCGTGTATTTTGTGTTCTGGTTTTTTCCCCAATGTGTAAGACAGAGCATTTGTTGGTTGATATTTGGAGTTGCCAATTGTTTGACCATTCCGACACAAAGTCAAGATCTTTTCGAAGGGTAGCAGCATTATCTGTTTCTTGGCTGTGGGAGCCAACATTGTCTGAAGACAATTTCCATGGTCACGTGGCCAGCATGGCTATATGCCAAAGGCGCATGGAACACTGATACTTTCGTACTAAAGTAGTACCTCTTTATCTACTCATGTTTCCATGCTCTTGAACTGCTACATGGGCAGGAGCTGAAGCAAATAATGGGATGTCACCCCATTGCGCAGAGCTCAGGTCTCGAACCTGGGCTGTCAGCTCTCCAGCTGACAAGTTCAGCATCTTTAACTGCTGAGCTAATTGTGCCCAATTATCCAGATGCACTAACACTGAAATCACAGAATTCCCAGTCAATTTACAATTTAAAACAGAAAAACAATAACATGGAAAATTTTAGACCATCCAAACAACATTATTCCACGTAACAAAATACTAATAGGTCCCTATTTGAAGCATGAGAGAACAACTGTGTTTTTAAAGATTTCTGGAATGACATTAGAGGAGTTAGACAAATTTTGGTTGGATCATTCCAGAGGAAAGATGCTTCCTAGGTCCTGATAGTGGGCATTATTTGATTGAAAGGACCTTGTGAAAGGTCCTTGTGCACCTATTTTGCCTGATCTTATTAGCTGGGCAACAACCCTGGGAGATACGTGATCCTTCAAATAACCTGGCTTGTGACATGATAACCTTTATAAGTGATAACCAGCATCTTGAATTGTACCCAGAACCCCACTAGCCTTCCCTTTTTCCTCCAACATGAATTCTGAAAACTCAAGAGATTCAGTCTTTTTATTGGCACATCTAACAATTGAGGTTTTTTTGGACCTTCAACACTTGCAGCATCTAGAAATTCACTTAATGAATTTGGTTCTATTTCCACAGGTATGAAAAATGGATTCACGAAGTGAGTGAACTAGGTGACCCAAACTTGAGTTAATTCGTTTTTTTCTCTACAGGGCTTCCATAAAGAAACAGGGTCTCCAAAAGCTTTTTAAGAAGATATTGGATAACCATTTGTCTGAAGTGGTGTAGGGTTTCCTGCCTAAGCAGGAGGTTGGACTAGAAGTCCTCCAAGATCCCTTCCAACTCTGTTATTCTATTCTATTTGAGCTCTGTAGACTATTCCTTTTCAGAGCCATTCCTATGGCTCCAGAAACTAAATTCTCATTCTTTCTTCCTTTTTCTCTCTTACTTGTTGCAATTTTTTTTAAAAAAAAAAAAGCCTACTGTATCAGCCCAATGCATCTGTTTTATTTCTTTTGATATCCTGGTACCATCCAGGTATAATTGGATTATAAAAATAATATAAAAGGTATAACTGGATTATAATTTCCAAGTTTACCAGACAACAGGGGCACTGGCCATGCCAATCTGGAATTTTGGAGATTATAATCCCAAACTATTTTGATGGCATCAGGTTGATGAAGGTTGGCCAACTGAATTGAATTGACTCTGTAGGATCCTGGGGGGAATAATCTTACTGTTCCCTAAATAGTCTGAATAGTAATGCAAGACATTTAATTTGATCTCCCTCTGCAGAAGTTGCTCACTCACCTAAATGGAGTGCCGCTGATATGAGTGAAGAAATAGTCATTAGTGAGGAACAGAATCCTTTTCTGGGAAAAGAAAAGAAAAAATATCAAGAATGCTAAACTGTAACTGTAGAGAAAACATACATCTTACACACAGACCCACATATTCCAAGTAACACTCCCAACAAAAGAAAACTCCGAAGCTTGAGCTTCCTCAAAGTTACATTTTATTAGAGATGTCATATTGCCACATCTGAGAAAACCCGATTCTGAAAGTTTCCAGGTTTTCCCCACCCAAAGAAAAGTTCAAGCCCCTGCCCAATACCACAGGTCCATCACATGGTCCAATCAGACATTGTCCCAACTGGAGATGCCTCCCAGCTCCAGGCTCCCGGGTGCAGGGCAAGTTGTCCTTGACTTTTATTTATTTATTTTGTTGAGTACATATTAGATAATATATATAAGTATAAGCATGAATTGAATACATAAAATGAATACAATTAAAGGAAACATTAGGACAGGGACGGTAGGCACGCTGGCGCTCTTATGCACGCCCCTTACAGACCTCTTAGGAAAGGGGTGAGGTCAACAATAGCCAGTCTAAGGTTAAAATTTTGGGGTTTTGGGATGAAACCACAGAGTCAGGTAGTGCATTCCAGGCACTGACCCCTCTGTTCCTGAAGTCGTATTTTCTGCAATTGAGTTTGGAGTGGTTCACTTTAAGTTTGTATCTATTGTGTGCTCATGCATTTTTGTGGTTGAAGCTGAAGTAGTCATTGACAGGTAGGCCATTGTAGCAGATGATTTTATGAGGTACGCTTAGGTCATACCGAAGGGGACATAGCTCTAAGTTTTCTAAGCCCAAAATTTCAAGTCTGGTGGCATAAGGTATTTTGTTGCGAGCGGAGGAGTGGAGGACTCTTCTTGTGAAATATTTCTGGACATGTTCAATTGTATTAATGTCCGATATGTAGTGTGGGTTCCAGACAAATGAGCTGTATTTGAGAACTGGTCTAGCAAAGATTTTGTATGCTCTGGTTAGTACTGTAATATTACCAGAGAAGAAGCTATGCGACCGGGCAGGGGACCAGTTCAGGGGCATGGCCAGCCAATGTTATTACCGGTTCTCCGAACTACTACAAATTTTTATTACCGGTTCGTGCGAACCGATGCGAACCAGGAGTAACCCACCACTGACATAGACACATACGGAGAGAGAATGATGCAATCAGATCAGGAAATATAGTTTGTCTTTCACATCTGCTTTCTCACTCCTTCTTGTTACAAAGTTGGCATGTAAAAAGAAAGGGTTAATTTTAATTTTAATTTTAATTTTAATCATCAGATGCGTGCTGAAACGAGGTCATCATATATTAAGAACCTCGTGATTAGGCAGTCTCCCAATTAAATAACTCTCACGTTGTAGAATCATAATTTAACTACTGGGAATTAAGACATACTGAGTTTGGTAGGTCTAGTCCTAACTAGATGTGCAGGGGACTGGTGACTTTATCAATTAATTGGATGAATTTTAATTAAATAGACAAACCTGAATAGGCTGAAGAAGAAAAAAAATACGGTTAATTGGGTTTTACCAGAAGAGGCTGTAATATTTATTTTTTTAAAAAAGTTCTGTGGTTTGTGTGAGATGGAGAGAAAAGAATTGAAGACTTCTACTAAGATAGTATCTGTTTTTATGAGGCCTTGTAGTACAACAAATACAACAAACAATTGTACAATAAATTGACTTTATGTTGTTACTGTTACTTAAGATTCATGTCTTTTGTAGTGAATATGAATAATGCAACATCTCTTTAATTGCTACATACTTTTTCATAATATATCAGTGTGTAATAATCTGTTTGTTTCATCAGCCTACCATCTGTAGAGATTGCTCAAGATCTACATTAGGAGGCTATTGTCTGAAAGAGTACAATAATAACTTGAAGTGATATAAAATTTGTTTGTGGGCCTCAAAACATGAATAAACCTGACAATTTCTTCCTATGTTCCTATAAACAGTCCACTGGTAGAAATAAGTTGATAGGTTAGTCCAAGATCTCTGTGATAGTAGGCCAGGTGAATTACATCAAGACTGGAGGGCAACAAAATCACCATAGAGGTTCAGAAGAACACTGTGAGAATGAGAATTTGAGGAAGAAAAGATAGGCTAAAAATATTCATAGTTGGGATGGATAAGGAATTCTGGGAATACTTAGGACAGTACAGGTAGTCCTTGACTTACAACAGTTCTGTCAATTTCGAATCAAACCTGGCAGAAGCTATTTTTCAGTTGCCACACAGGTGGGGTAGGGGGTAGGAGAATGAAGTATGCTGCTAGACAAAACACAGAACTTTCTCATGGGAACCAAGGTCATTTCTATAGGTGGTGGATAGAGATGGGGAGGAATGCCTGGAGAGCCCGCCAATTAACCTAATTGGCCAATGTGACTTGTGACTTTTGGGGAGGGAGTTATTTCCTATTTTAATTATACTGAAACAGCGGGAAACATTTAGAGTTGGTTTTCCATTTGATTGTGCTGATATGATGTACAAAATAAAGAAGTTCTCAGAGGAAGACTTCAGCCTCGGAGTTCTGATTTGCTGGGGTTCATTAGTAGGGACCATGACAAGTTCACTTAGTGACCGTTCAAAGTTACCACGGCACTGAAAAAAGTGATGTATGACCATTTTTCACACTTATGACCATTGAAGCATACCCATGGTCATGTGATTTACATTCAGATGCTTGACAATGGGTTCATATTTATGATGGTTGCAATGACCTGGGGTCATGTGATCATCTTTTGGTACCTTCTGGCAAGCAAGATTCCAGATTCACTTAACAACAACAACGTTACTAACTTAACAAATGTAATGATTCACTTGACTACAGTGGCAAGAAAAGTTGTAAAATGGGGCAAAACTCACTTAACAAATGTTTTACTTAGCAACATATATTTGTGGTCGTAACGTGAAGACTGCCTGTAGCTTGGTCCCATGCCACGAAGGGCTTTAAAGGTTAAAACCAGAATGTTGATCTGGTAGATCTGATAATCTTTCTTTGTAAGAAAATACAAGAGGCTATGAGGGCATTGCCCTCTGCCAGGAGCTACTCTATCTCCGTCGCTAGGGTGAGCTTGTTTTTTAATTGGGGACGGCCGGTGGGAGTGGGAAGGATGCAGACAAAATGGACCTGGGCTCTCCATTCTGCTTGCATCACCAAATATTCCAACATCCTTGCACAGAACACTGGCCACTTTGTGAATTCACACCCACGGTACCAAAGGAATCTTGCTAAGTAGGATTAGCTGTGGTACATAATACGGTCTTAGCACTGTTTCTTTGTATACCTTGATACATGACTTGATGAGCCTTGCACTTCTTATCAGAGTATCAGATGGAATTGGGGGAAAAAAAAGAGGTCACAGCCTTCAAAGCTGTTCTGCCGCTGCTTTAATGTCCTTGAAACACGTTACATAGATTGATGCTCGGCAGCTGGTCTATATGAAATGACAGATAGGCTTGAGATGGAAATGTGACAGAGAAGGTGATAAGTGGTAGGATAACCATCTCAGTCCTTGTGGCTGCAGTCACATGGGAAGCTTTTCTTTTCTCCTTCACCTAAATATCATCCTTCCCTTTTGCTAGTTCAACACCAATCTTCAACGTCCCGGAAACCCCCCCCCATTCCATCTAGTACAATGACAGCAGGCATCAAAGGAGTCGAGGCTAAATTGTTCATGCTTTGGAAAGGCAGATCGATCCTGGAGGCAGTTATGTGAGCTGGCTGCCAGCTGAGCATTTCAGAAACATCTCAGCTAGCTTATTTAATTAGCCAAGCATGGCCAGCCTAATGGTCTCAAAAAGGAAAGCTGCATGGGTTGCCATATAATGACGAGTGGCTTCCCCATTTTCTGTGTTGCTGGATAGGAAATAGCCTGACTTAAATGACCCCTATAATATTCCCTCCAGGGGTCCCAAGCCCTCCTGCTTTTCTATTGCTGTTAACATTTGATTTGTTTTTATGATTTCTAGCTATCACAAGGTCACAGCAAGTGTCAGCATCTAACCAACATGGCTGATCTGGAAAAAAAGCTAAGCAGGACCAGGTCCAGCTGGGACATGGATTGGAGACCACTCAGAAATGAAGGGTCTCTAGGATAGAGTGGAAAACTGAAGGGAAAATGGGGGGGAAATTTCAAGGCACTGGCAATGCTGCCAAGAAAACTTTACAAACATACCCATGGAGTCAACATTTTGGATTCAAAGAACACCAAGAAAGTCACAATGGATTTATGTTCATTTTAAGCATATCCAGAGGCAGTACTAAGGTGCCTATTTTACATAGGCACACACACAAACACTCTGCATGGGGCAGAATTTCCTCATTCTACTTTTTTCTCCTTCAGTATAATTTTTGTCTGAATATTGAGGGGAAACTGGTGAACTGTTTCATGCATTTAGCTTCGCTGTCAGTTTTGGAAGCCATATTAGGCCAGAAGCTTCCACGCTGTGTGGGAAAGTAGGAGGGGGATTTAGTAGAGGGGTTGTCTGTAGACATAATAGCATTCTTCCTGTCAGTCAAGGTCAGGGCGATCCTGCATCTGGAGAAGGAGTGGTTGGAGTGATGTCTCGAGATGGGACGGCGGTTGATTGGAGCATGTGATCGACTGAGGACTGAGGGGATGGTTTTGGGGGTTTTGATTTACTGAGGGAAAACCCGAACCTCTCAGATTCGGGTTTTCCCAGATGTCCCAGTTTACCTATTCTAGTAACTAGAACTTTGAAAATGCTTGCTTCAGAGTCTTTACTTGGAGCTGCGGAGTTTTCTGGAATGCTGACATTCGCCCTGAAACGTGATCCGTTTTTTTAAAAAAACCCAGTCTTACTGTTAATTAATGCAGTCAAGGAGGCACTTCGTATAGCCTGAAAGCTTACAAGATTAGAGAAATGGCAAACAGTCTCAAGTATTTTGAGAGCAGGAGGTGGATGTAATATTAACAGGAGTGAATAAAATGTCTCCACGGGAACCCTGCTTTGCTAACCTTTAAAATAATTTTCAGTATGACTGAAAGGGGAAGAATATAAACTTAACAAATCAATTCCGTGGAGGGTGTGAAATTTAGATGAAGCACAGAAGCAGAGCATGAAGAGGTTAAGAAAGGCTAGTGGGGCAGGAGAGAAAAACCAGTGCTACTTTTTAGAGTACTGATATATAATTTCTTCAACTCTTATTTCTGGTTACAACAGACTTTGGAGGATTTTCTATCAATTCAGAACCTCTATATCTTTATTTAACTTAAGGGGGCAGCTGGCCAAAGAAATCATCTCAGTGCACGCATGTTAGAGACTCCATGGACAACTTTCCAACTCTCTTGAAGAAAAAGTATGTGCCTCGGGTTTAAGAGATGCAGGTGAAAAAAACAATAATTGAAAACCCAATTCATAATGAGATGAAGGAGCAGGGCCGGATTTTCCTATAGGCTAACTAGGCTTCAGCCTAGGGCCTCAAGATCAAGAGGGGGCCTCAAGATCAAGAGGGGCCTACATTCAAATTGTTAGCAAAATTACAATTACACTATAGGTGAAAGGGCCTCATAAGTGGAATAGCCTAGGGCCTCTTTTTATCTAAATCCGCCCTGTGAAGGAGCAACAATGACAAAAGAGTAAAAGGCGTGAAGGTAGATAAGGGAGAGCTAACAAAGGGCCAATAAATGTCACATGGCATTTAATGATGAGAGATTTAATTTAGGAAATGCCACGATGCCTAAATACATTAATAGGTAGTGGTAAAGGTTCCCCTTGCACATATGTAGTAGTCGTTCCCGACTCTAGAGGGTGGTGCTCATCTCTGTTTCAAAGCCAAAGAACCAGCGCTGTCCGAAGACGTCTCCGTGGTCATGTGGCCGACATGACTAAACACCAAAGGTGCATGGAACACTGTCACCTTCCCACCAAAGGTGGTCCCTATTTTTCTACTTGCATTTTTTACATGCTTTCGAACTGCTAGGTTGGCAGAAGCTGGGACAAGTAACAGGAGCTCACCCTGTTACGCGGCACTAGGGATTCGAACCGCTGAACTGCTGACTTTCGATCGACAAGCTCAGCATCTTAGCCACTGAGCCACCACTTCCCTCAAATACATTAATAGATAGGTGTAAAACATTTCATTTGTACAGAACAGATTGGAAAGAGGGATATTGAAACCTCTCCTTTTAATGCACACTAGAAAGGGGTCGGCCTTTGATTGCACAATCGCTGCACCCATATTGACTTTTTCGTGGACACCTCTGCTCTGAACTCTTGATATGCACACCTGGACAAGATTTGCTAGAACCTAAGTGTCCAGAATTTTAGGAAACGTTTTCATTCTTGAATCTACATTCTTCAAATATCACTGGATTTTAATGGATCACATGTTTCTGCAGCAGCTACTGATAAATTAAGCCTCTGTTGATGACAGCTATGACTAAAATGGCTATGCTCTCTTTACATCTTCTCTCTGCCTCCTAGGGAAACTCTGTTTTTGATGAAGAGAGAATAAAGATATGGCTAAGCTTTATATTTCCAAAACAGCCTTTTATGATTTCAGTCTTTGAACTCTCCTGCTATTGTCATGTATCCGATTAAGCTAATCTAATTATGCTGATGTGTTTTGGGGATTTTAGGATAGTTTCACACATTTAATCTTTTGAAATATTCACTTTTCTGAATTGCATGGTTTTTAATCTACAATTAAAACTTATAAATACTCACTCCTTTATCCATGGGCACCTTCACATCCATGGACAAATAACCAGTTTCTCCGTTGATCATTGCTGTTCGTAACTGCAGAAAGGAACAGGGCTTCATTAAAATACTTACAGTAGCTGGCTCAGGACCACTGGCCGGCAATGACAATTTAGATATAGATATTTCACCCTTTTGCGTTTAGCTAAATAATATACAGGTTGGGTTGTAATCATACTGGATTCAGGAAAGCAACTGCCATGACTAATGTCTTGGATTAGAACTGGGAGATTTCAAACTATGAACAATTGACTGCAATGGAGAAGGGCAGCATATAAATCGAACCAATAAATAAATAAATGTTCTATATGTGTATATTTTTGCCATACCTTTCATTGATTACTTGCATCATCTTGGGCTAGTTCATACTTTGTTGCATGCTGCCCATTGTCAATAGACAAGACTATTTGTCAATATTTCTATGATTTGCTAGGAATTTTATGGATAAATTGGCCAGGGAAGGGTAATGCACCCACACACACACACACCAATTAGGCACTTACAGTTTCATTTACATCTTCCCATTCTACTTCAGAAAGATCAACACTGTTGTAATTGGGTTTGGGCTTCAGCTTTTTCCCTTCTTTGTACTGGAATATTGGAAAAAAAAAAAAAAGGACAGACAAGTTAGGGAAAAAAAATTTTTTTCTCAAGGAAACTTTTTCCTCCATTGATGATTTTACTGTGTTTGTGTCAGTGGTGGATTGCTACCGCTTCTCCCCGGTTCTTGCGAACCGGTAATGGAAATTTTGAGTAGTTCGGAGAACCGGTAAATACCACCTCTGCCTGGCCCCACCCCCAATCTATTTGCTGCCTCCGGAGTCCCAGCTGATCGGCTAAAAAGAAAAAAACAGGGCTCACTTGACAAAGAAGAGGAAAAAAAAAAACCAAGACACCTTAGCTTTAAATTTAGAAGCCAAGAAGCCTCCCAACTGATCGGCTAGAACCGATCCGCTCCTTGTAAACCGCTCAGTGGTGGTAGATTGGCAATTGAGGTCAAGCTGCCTGAAAGCGGTTTCCGATACTCTTGGTGGTGGCAGAGCGGCGCAAAAAACTGTTTAAACTCTTGCCGCTGCGCTTCAAAGGGCCGCTGATCAGTGGTAAAAGGCAGTGTGGTGGTAGACCAGTGCGCTCCAAAAACAAATGGGTAGACCAGTACGGCTCTGCAAGCAGTTAAAAGCCTGGTAGACCAGTAACTCTGCTAAATCCAATCAAACCACAAAATAAGCCACACCCACAGAATAGGTAGTAAAAAAATTTAGAACCCACCCCTGGTTTGTGTCTATTGTTGAAAGATGCTCTAGGAGGTGTTATTAGGAGCTGTGGTGGCGCAGTGGTTAGAATGCAGTACTGCAGGGCTAGTTTTATTTATTTATTTATTTGTCAAGAATAAATGTATTAAGTAATTTATATAATTATAAGCATGAATTGAATACATAAAAAAGATACAAGTACGGGAACCTTAGGACAGGGACGGTAGGCACGCTGGTCCTCTTATGCACGCCCCTTACAGACCTCTTAGGAATGGGGTGAGGTCAACAGTAGACAGTCTTAGGTTAAAATTTTGGGGGTTTGGGAAGAAACCACAGAGTCAGGTAGTCTATTCCAGGCATTGACTACTCTGTTGCTGAAGTCATATTTTCTGCAATTGAGTTTGAAGCGGTTCACTTTAAGTTTGTATCTATTGTGTGCTCGTGTATTGTTGTGGCTGAAGTAGTCATTGACAGGTAGGACATTGTAGCAGATAATTTTATGAGGTATGCTTAGGTCATACTGAAGGCGGCGTAGTTCTAAGTTTTCTAAGCCCAAAATTTCAAGTCTGGTGGCATAAGGTATTTTGTTGCGAGCAGAGGAGTGGAGGACCCTTCTTGTGAAATATTTCTGGACACATTCAATTGTATTAATAACCGATATGCAGTGCGGGTTCCAGACAGATGAGCTGTATTTGAGAATTGGTCCAGCAAATGTTTTGTATGCTCTGGTTAGTAGTGTGATATTACCGGAGAAGAAGCTACGCAAGATTAGGTTTACAACACTTAATGCCTTTTTGGCGATGTTGTTACAGTGGGCTTTGGCACTTAGATCATTTGATATGAGTACTTCAAGGTCCTTGACAGAATGAGGGTCATCTACAAGGTCGTGTCCACACAGCTTGTACTTTGTGTTCTGATTCTTTTTGATCCTTTCCGATCCTTACTGCTCACTCCAGGAGGTCAGTCCTGAAAGGGCTCAAGGTTTACTCAGCCTTCCATCCTTCCGAGGTGGGTAAAATGAGGACCCAAATTGTTGGGGGAAATATGCTGACTCTGTAAACCGCTTAGAGAGGGCTGTAAAGCACTGTGAAGTGGTATATAAGTCCAAGTGTTATTGCTTTTGCTATTATTGTTGAATGAGGAAAATGCAGTTGTTGTGTTCTTCTATTCATTTTGCCCCCTGGGCAAAGACTTTTGCTATTACAGAAAGCAAAATAATGCTGGTCCTCACGGCATCACTAGGAATGGAAGATAAGACTTTATCTGACAAACACAGGTAGCCCTCTGCTTATGACAATTCGTTTAATGATGATTCAAAGTTACGACAGCTTAGGAGAAAGTCACTTATGACCTGTTCTTGAAGTTATGATTGTCACCCCACCCACTGGTCAACTGATTGTGATTCAGGCGCTGGGCCTTAATCACCTGATCGCCAAAGTAATCTTCCAAGCAAATTCAATTGGGAAAACTGGATTTGCTTAACGACCATGTGATTCAGTTAATAACCACAATAAAAATCATCATAAAATCAGACCTGGTCATTTAATGACTCTCTTAACAACCACATTGCTTAGCAACTGAAATTCCAATCCTAATTGTGGTTGTAAATTGAGGACTACCTGTACAGGCCTAGCATATTTGAACAAATTATGTTTCCAATGCTCAAATCAGAAACAATGAGCACTGGCAAGAAGCAGAGTAATAATACAGAAATGATATATGCTTTACTGTTTTAATTCAGATATAAATTTCAACACTGTAAGCATATAAGTAATCTAACCAGCTTGGCATTTATTGTATCATTTGTATTCTTTTTCTAATGGGGATATTTATTGCATGCTTGTAATGAAAGCAAAGAAAATATAAATCAAGAGAAAATATAAAAAGTGAAGAAAGTTCTGGAGGAGAACTTTAAATTTCACATACTATTTATATTTTGGATAGAATAAGTCTGTAATGAAAAGGTACCTTGGAGAAAATGGAATATTCAGCCAGCCAACATAATCAGATAGCTGCATTTGGAGCCTTGACATTTAAGTCAAAGTGACATAAAATTAAAATGTAATCATATAGGTCAGGGGTCGGCAACCTTAAACGCTCAGAGAGCCATTTGGACCCGTTTCCCACAGAAAAGAAAACACCGGGAGCCACAAAACTCTTCCTGTGCCTAACTATTTCCTGAGTGGCCACAAAACTAGTATATATAGTCAAATTGAAGATTCTGTTTTCTTCTGAAACTTTTCTTTTCTTGGATTTATCCATGCTTGGCCTACTCGGGGTTGAAAAGCTTAATAAATTGCGCATCGGTGGGTGTCGCACATTGGCAGTTGTGACGCATATTTTGAGCGAAGGAGCCGCAGCAGAGGGATGAAAGAGCCACATGTGGCTCCAGAGCCACGGGTTACTGACCCCTGGTATAGGTAAGTTACTTAGCTTCCAAAGTTACTTGAGGTCCAAATTAATGGTGATATTTTTGCTGAGGCAGTGGGATCCCCTGCAGGTAAAGGTCCATGGCAGGCCTTTGATTTGACACCTTAATGCTGCCATTTAGGATTTTGAATAGATATTGAATAGATGTTGGGTTCATTGGAAAAGAAAGCTAACACTCAAGAACTGCAATTACAAAAAGACAACCATCCAACAGCACCCAATTGGAATAGCACAAATCTAGATTGCTGATGACCCTCTACATCAATGAACAGGAGGTTATACAACAACACAAACTAAAGAGAGATCTCAGGAAATCTGGGGCTTCTTTAAGTACTCACCAGTGGCCGGAGGTCGGGATGAGACAGAATGTAGCCATTGTTAGTAATTAGAAAGGCATATCCATGGATACCCAGCTTGAAATAAATGCATTGAAATAATTAGATGTATTTATTTCAGGGAAAGTTACAGACCCCATCCCACAAAACTGTGTACTGGTTGATTAGTATGCACACTATCATTTCTTGGTTTGACCATTTTGTATATAATCTTTAACCCATCAAGATATCTCTTTAATTTTTAGTTTATTTATTTGTTATTTATATTTCATAGTTCTAAACCACCCACCTCCCTCAAATTATCTTGCTATGTTCTCAGATGCTCTTCTGTCTTAACAAAGATTAAAATCTGAATCAAGAGAGTTAAGGAACATAAGAAGCTGCCAATACATCAGAATATTTGTTAATCAAGCCACAATTCTTGGCAGGGTTTCCCTGCAAGGATTTCTTCCAGATTTGCTGACTGAATATTTTTATCCTCGAACTGAACAGAGCCAGCTCACTCATGACCCTCAAGCAGCATATTCAGAAAAAAATCATTTTTAGGTTCAGACCCTAGCTCAGGGATGTCAAAATCAATTTCATTGAGGGCCGCATCAGGGCTGTGGTTGACCTTGGGGGGGCTGGGTGGGTGTGGCCTACTGGGTGGGCGTGGCCACCTTGACGCCACTCCCCAAACTACTGGCATGTTTCCTTTTTGCATTGGGTAGACCAGGTTGAAGCGACGTGGGCCAGCTCCTTATATTTTCCAGAATGGCCTCATGGGCCAGATCCAACCACATTGCGGGCTAGATTCAGCCCTCCAGCCTTTTGTTTGACACCTCTGCCCTAGCTACTACCATTCTAATATCTCATCTCTCCTCCACAATGCCTTGTTCTGAGGGTTCCTCAGACCAAGAAATAAGAATGTGGAACCAGTCTGAACACAACGCTGGCCCTGATACCATGTTTCTAAGATTCTCAGAGGAGCATCAAATCTTTACAGTAAGGCGCAAGGAACATGCCTTCTTAGTTGTGGGACTTTCTCTTGAAAGGGAGTAGTACTAACAGAGAGTTTCAAAGACATAAATGTACTCTGAAAACATGCTGGAAATGTCTTTCTGAACTAGTGGGCATCTTTATTTCTTGCAGCATGCAAGCACTTCACTGTCATTATGGTGGAATGAAGATTTCCTTCGGGATCGTTGCACTTGTAAAGATCAGACAATTCTCATTATTTCAGTTCTTACTTTGTATCGTGGAGCCAACTTAAGAAGCTCTCTCAGTGGAACGTCAGACCCTATTACACCCAGAAGGATGCCATGTGATCTCTGAAAAATAGAAAATGAAAACTGGGAATCTATTGTCTCTTTCTCCTTGTACCAAAATCAATATCGTCATTTTGTCACCATGTTGGTTTTCATTGTTTTTATTGATTAGCGTGACAAAATATTCAGATGGAGGGATAAAAGGGAACAGGAATGGGTTAAATATTCCATTCTAGTCTAAGTTATAGTGTAGATGCTAATAAAAAAGGGATAATAAATTCTTTAAGACTAATAATTTCAAAAGAAGACAGAGAAGGGGATTGCATTCCTTTTCTTAATTTGTCCAACAAAGAAAATAGTTTTTTCACTAGGGTTTTTTCTCTGATGGGACCGGTCTATCAATTCTTTCACTAGTTTTGAAATGTTAGTTTTTTAATTTTTTAAAATTCTGTTTGTAACCAAAAGAAACTTACTATATCTCATACATCCATTGGTAGATAACTGCAGATCATTCTTCAGTACTTTTGTTATCAAATTTTGTTTGCAAGATTTCAGAAGCTCTAGAGAGCCCATAAAAGGGAGTTAGGGCCATACGTAGATGCAGGCTATAGCTTGTCCACTTGACTTATTTTTAAATGCACTCTTTAAAATGTTTTCATTTATTTAACATGCTGTAGTTATATAGGGTTTTAAGAAGTAGTAACAGACACATCTGGAGATTTGTTAAAGCTCTGTCAGTCTGGTCTACCTACCTCACTAGGTAGACCCAGACCAAGAAATCAACTCCATAGGAAAACTAAAACATTTAAAAATTACAAGTAGTGGCCAAAATTGTGGAAACCTTTTGGGAAAAAGTGTATTTTTGAGGTTTGATGGCTAATAACACCATTTGTTTTTTTGGCGTTTCAGGATAATCATATTCTACTGCTGGAATGGCCTGGGAATAGCCCAGACCTTAACCCAACTGAAAATCTATGGAGCCGACTAAAGAAACTTGTTAGTCAGAAGCGACCCAGCAATAAAACCCAATTAACAGAAGCAATCATTCAATCTTGGTTTCACATTATAACAGCTGCAGAACTAAAAGACTTGGTTCATTCTATTGTAAGGCCATAATTCATGCTAAAGGTTACTCAACTATTAACTGTGGTGATAATTTTTGTATATCTCATTTTTTCTATGGTGATAATTTTTGTATATCTCATTTTTTCTACATTTCACTTTTCTTCTTTATACTGTAACTGCTATTCTAATAGCAAATCCTTCATAAAAGTTATTGCATTACATTCTTGATTAAATTATCTTTCCATTGATATATAATTTTACCGTACTACTCCAAAAAAAATTGGTGTTATTATTAGCTAGTTTTAGAAAATACTTTTCCCAAAAGGTTTCCACAATTTTGGCCACTACTATCTAACTGTTCTGGCCTTAAAACACATTTTATTTCTCACACCTTTGGAATTGGCACATCTTCATCAAGGTCATGTTCCTTACTCTCTAGAAGCTCCAACAAACAAAGTTTAAATTTTGCAAGCCATCCTCTTATCTTGCTCCAAGTAGAGATGTCTAGAAAATGATGCTTACCGTTTCATTTTTTTTGCTGAAGACAGGCATAGCTACTGTTGTCATAAGCAAGAGACTTTGAGCTTGAGAGGCAAAGAGCTACCAGATAGAAAAAGAGCAGCAGATTAGCTGTTGGGAGACTAATTGAGAGGAGAAGCACAAATCCTTTGAATTAAATAGCAGGAAAGCACAATGAAAAAAGTGTGCACTAAAAATACTAGCTACGCAAGAAGACAAGAAGAATATGATACATTGGGGAAAGACATGAATCTGAGACATGTTTTGCCAATATATACCTTCACATAGTCAAGGTAGATAACATCATAAAGAAAGTTTAACATATGACTGCACTTCTTCACATCCAGGTTAACATGGCACTGTTAGAGATATAGCTAAAGCATGTGAAACCACTTACCCAGACATAACAAATTGTAAATGTGCTTACATACATAAACATTCAAACCCTGGAGACTTGATGGCGCAGCGGACTAAAGTGCTGTTAAGTAGCACTTAGCTGCCAGCTGCCTGCTATTACTGCAAGTTCAAATCTCACCAGGCTCAAGGTTGACTCAGCCTTCCATCCTTCCAAGGTAGGTAAAATGAGGACCCGGATTGTGGGGGTAATAAGTTGACTTTGTATAAAAAAGAACACCGCTTAGGGGGTGCCGAAAGTCCTACTAAGCAAGTATATACAAAAGTATGAATGCTATTGCTTAATGCATTGTAAGCCACCCTGAATCTCTGGAGAAGGGCGGCATATAAATTGAATAAATAAATAAATAAATAAATAAATAAATAAATAAATAAATAAACAAACAAACAAACAAACAAACAAACTCATATTCAGGATTCAAATGCAAATGGGCTGGGGTTGGAGTTGAAAAAAGGCATATATTCCACAAGGGACATGGGCTTACATGGAAGATGGTTCGTCAACAAGTTGGAAGAAATACAGGTAAGCTGTGTGAAATGGACAAGGGCATCACAAGCTAGAGATGAAGAGATGGGAGGGAGGGAGGGAGAGATGGCTTTGCAGCCTCAGAAGAGGAAAAAAACTATTTATCTAGGGGCTACAGCTCTCTTCTAGTCAATTCGATAAAGGTTTCACCCATTTCACCCTAGAGGGCTTCGAAGACTCATTAGATGAATCCAAAGATCTAGCATAAGAGCCAACTATATACCTATGGAAAGTCCTGGGTGGCATGAAGGCAACTGCATCATTCCAATCACATATGAAAGCAACCAGTATTGAGAGGAATCCTTACTCTGTTGGGAATAATATATTGCTATTATTCTTAATAGCTGTACATAGCACTATCTTCTATGACTGCCAGGTTTCACTGTTGCATCATCTATCACAAAATTTTATGGTATTCAATTCCACAGATTAATCTTCTGCTAGCCATCCTAAACATTAGTTTAGTGGTCATTATTAACAGGTTGAGCATGGATATTGAATAACTAAAATATAGGTGGCCATCCTTTTGCGGTACTAAATATTTATAATTGTGAAAACACTTCCTCTATATACTCTCTCAAACAAATTAAGTTACTTCTATTTCATATTCAAAGGGAACCTTTTCTAAAGCTGAAATCTCATTATGGATATTGTATAATCTTAACAATTGCTTCAAGATGTAGCACTATAGTCGCATAATTATCCACATGTCTAGACAGAAATAAGTACCATAAAATTCAGTGTAAGCGAGCACCAAATTGCAGTCAAATCCATTCAATGAATCTAGAATTAAGCCACAATTCAAAAAGGGGACCTTCAGTCCATGAGCTATGCTCTGCAATACTATTCCATGACACAACACAACACAACTCAAATACATCCAGGATTCTGTTATCTGTGTCTCTCCCATGCTGCATTGCACAGTTACCACTGTATTATTATCTGGATGTATGGTTAAGCTACAAAGTAATCTAATATACAACACAGCAATCCACATAAAAAAGAGTCAATGTTCACAAAATACAGCTAGGTTGTTACCTCCTCAAATTGTGGCAGCTAGTGAGAAATGTGGATGGCATTAATGAATGGACAGGACAGAACAGATGAATAAGCCAAACAAACATGCAACAAGTAACACAGACAATGCAAGTGAGAAAAATGTAAGAGCAAGCAAAAGCATCACATAGTTTTTAGGTAGCAACAGTCAAGAATCAACACTCAATACAATAAATACAAGGTCACTCTGCTGATAAGCTTAACTAAATTGGAAAAGAGATTTCGTTTATAATTTAGTTCCAAGAAATGTTCAGCTTTGCTCTCTGAATTAAAAAAAATATCTTATCATCTATTTAGGATTAGCTTCAAGATGGCCAAGGCACAGTGTGGTATGATGGGACCAATTTTTTAAAATGTTGGCTCTTGTAAGCCCTTCAACTGGTTGTGGATAGTAGCAGCAAGTAACTGGGAACATATAAAGTCATATTCCATCCAGAATTAGAGATTTTAACCACTGGAGATTGATTCTGCCAATATCAAGATTGTTGATGCTCTGCATTACCATTCAACGTACAAAGAAGGTCCATGTATATGTAGCAACCACCAGGCAAGAATAACTTTTCCTTGAGATGAACTTGGTTCCTTGTGATTTGATGGCCCCACTTTTATAGTTTCTTGGGGGACAGTACAAAGTGGTTCTTTGTTGCTCTCTTCCTGGATTTATTTTTATTTCCTAGTCTAACCTATAGCTCTGGTACTTCCCAGGGGTCTCCCATTGAAATCCTAACAAGGCCCAACTTGTTTAACTTCCTAAGACATGGCTAGGTGCTGCCCAGCCAAACATGGCTGTAGGTGCTGCTACTTAGATGCTCAGGCTTTATTGCTAAGAGTGGATAAACGCACTTAAGAAACTTTAGGTAAAGGTAAAGGTTCCCTTTGCATATATGTGCTAGCGTTCCCGACTCTAGGGGGTGGTGCTCATCTCCGTTTCAAAGCCGAAGAGCCAGCACTGTCTGAAGACATGTCCATGGTCATGTGGACGGCATGACTAAACGCCAAAGGCGCACGGAATGCTGTTGCCTTCCCACCAAAGGTGGTCCCTATTTTTTCTACTTGCATTTTTTACATGCTTTTGAACCGCTAGGTTGGCAGAAGCTGGGACAAGTAACGGGAGATCACCCCGTTATGTGGCACTAGAGATTCGAACTGCTGAACTGCCAACCTTTCGATTGACAAGCTCAGTGTCTTAGCCACTGAGCCACTGCGTCCCTTAATGAGAAACTTTAGCCTTATACAAAATGATATACATTCCTAAGAGAACCCTCTAAAACTGTACTGAATTTCAACTTGAGGAAAAATGTAAGTGGGACGTCTACATTTATGCCAGCAGTCTCACTGCTAAAGAGAGAGAATTTTGCTAATTATGAAAAGCAGTGTTCCTCTTTAGCAACAGAAGGAGCTACAAGTGAAAAAGAAACCAAAGTTTTGGCTGGCGTGGATCTCTCTTCCTCCTCGAGCAAATTCTTTCTTTGGGTTTTAGCCTTAGGCTTCTAAGACATATGGGACCCCATAATGTATGTTAATTCTTTCTGTGAGTATAGAAAACAAGCTGCAGGCTCAGTGACCCATTTCTTGAGCTCAAACTATTTTTTTTTTTCCTGGTGACTAATCCTTAATAAAGTGCTTCTGCAGAGTTTACAGAGACAGGGATTCTAATTAAGTCATGCTAGGCCTCTTGTGATTTGTTTTGAGTTCCTGGAGTATGGTGGAATTTCAAATACAGCATCGCGCTTAAGGAAAGTGTGATAAATGATGTTTCTTTTAGAAGGCACATTTTAACACTACCCAGCTGCTGTGATCCAATTCTGAATGATATACATATTGCAACGAATATCTGAAAAGACCCGTATCTCTTAACGTCTTCGAAGTTGGACAACTAGAAACTTTTCATGAAATACTTACAGCGCTATCCATATAGGCTTCAGTCCATATGATGTCATGATCATGGTTGATAACCATTGGCCGGCTAAGTACATGCAAATATTCCATGACATTCTCTTGCACGTCAGCCAAAGTAGATATCTGTGTGTAGTAGCCTGATATGGGGGACAAAAAAATCACCATCAACTGAGTTAATTTTGTTTAAATTGAGGTTTGCATCTCATTTGTTCCAAAGTTTATTGAATCCTGTCCATTTGTCCTAGGCCAGTGATGGCTAACCTTTTTGCCATTGCGTGCCAAAAGCAGGGGAAGTGCGGGGGGCGTGCGCGCATGTGCCAACACCCATAATGCAATCCCCCCCTGCACGCCCCACCCTTGTGCATGCATGGGTGACCCCCCCACGCTGCCCCATGCATGTGTGTGACCCCCGTACTCCCCCACCCCCCCCGCACATGCGCATGCCCCCGCACTCCCCCCTGCGCATGCACGTGCAACCCCCCGCAGCCCGTTTTGGGCCTGGCAAGCATCCCTGAAGCCTCCTGGGACCAAAAATGGGCCACAGGGAGGACACATCACTCCCCCCGCAGCCCATTTTGCCTCAGGGGTGCGCATGCCCCTGTGCCCCCCCATCCCTTCGCATGCGCATAAACCCCCTCCCGCAATGGAGATTCTAAAAAGGGCTGTTTTCTATATGAAATTGATTATAAAAAATAATAGCAATGTTACATTTAAAAGGTAATGAGAATGTGAACACAGTTAGAAATACCTAACTGAAGTCACTGGAATTAACATTTTGAATGCTTCTAATGGATTGAAGAACAATTATTTTTATTAGTTTGTATTCAAAAAAGATCTAGAGAAATCAAGATCTTTATCTCACAGATAAAAATATAGTATCCACGGGACTCTGCAAACAGGTATTTTGTGATAAAAGCTACAGAAGTGGCCAAAATTGTGGTAACCTTTTGGGAAAAGTGTATTTTCTAAAACTAGCTAATAACACCACTTTTTTTGGAGTAGTACCATAAAATTATATATTAATGGAAAGATAATTTTATCAAGAATATAATGCAATAACCTTTATGAAGGATTTGCTACTAGAACAGCAGTTACAGTATAAAGAAGAAAAGTGAAACACATAGAAAAAATGAGATATACAAAAATTATCACCATGTCAGTTAATACTGAGTTGGGTAATCTTTAGCATCAATTACGGCCTTACAAAATCTTCCTATGGAGTGAACCAAGTCTTTTAGTTCTGCGGCTGTTATAATGTGAAACCAAGACTGAATGATTGCTTCTATTAACTGAGTTTTATTGCTGGGTTGCTTCTTTAGTCAGCTCCATAGATTTTCAATTGGGTTAAGGTCTGGGCTATTCCCAGGCCATTCCAGCAGTGGAATAGGATTATCTATTATTAGCCATCAAACCGCAAAAATACACTTTCCCCAAAAAGTTTCCACAATTTTGGCCACTACTGTACATCATTTCTTTTGCAGGATCAATGTTTTTAAAACTTCCCTAAATCACCCTGAGACTGCCATTGGCCATTGACTGATTTGTAGGGGAAAAATAAAGATTTACCCTTCATTTGCAAAAAGACCAAGCAACTAACTACACCAAAATCATCATTACCATCCAACTTTCTGAAATTTTTCTAAACATACTTAAATGTTTCTATTTACATGTACTCCTAGATTTATGACCACAAATAAGACTGGGACTTCCATTGCTAAGTGAGGTGGTTGTTAAATGAGTTGTGCCTGATTTTATTACTGTTATTAAGTGAATCATTGTAGTTGTTAGATGAAGCACATGGTCATTAAGAGAATCTGGCTTCCCCCGTCAACTTTGTTTGTCGGAAGCCAGCTGGGAAGGTTATAAATGATGATCACATGACCCTAAAATGCTGCAACCGTCTGTCAACCTTGAAGACCTGACCAGAGCCATCTTGGCGCATCAGTGTTGCCACTCTGGAGCTGAGGGAAAGGGAGGAGGGATTAGAGATAGCTGGGGTATGTAGCCAAAATAAAATACTTCCTCTTGGGAACCAAGGACATTCTCACACCTGGCCTGTGGAAGGAGGAGTGAGGTCGCCTGGCAACCAGACAGAATCTTGATTGGACCATGTGACTGTTTGGGGTTGAGGGAAAACTTTATCTTTTAATTAGGTGAAAACCGCGGGAACCTTCAGAGTTGGTTTTCACCAGATCTGCGCCAATATAATATCTCCAATAAAGCTATTCTTTGAGGAATTCAACTGCCTCGGAGTTTTGCTTGCTATGGGTCTATTACTTGGAACCCTGACATTATCATAAATCCATGCTGGTTGCCAAGGGCCTGAATTTTTATTATCTGACCGCAGGGACACTACAACGGTTGTAAGTGCAAAGACTGGTTGTTGAGTCACTTTTTTCAGCACTGTTGTAACTTTGAGCAGTCACTAAATGAATGATTATAAGTCAAGGACTACCTGTACCACCTTTGTAATTGATCCCATATTATACATAAGTACAATATTTAGGAAATGTAGGAAAGGCCCAATTAAAATGGTCACTGCTAATTTTTTGCTTCTTTTATATTTTCTTTCAACCACAAAATGCTTCTGATTCAGTTTCCTAATTGTGTACTCTTCAAAATCTGTGACATATGGCTCATACAGGGGTAGGCATTACTATTTTCTGCTATTTACTTCTGGAACTTTTCCAATTCAGTTTAGGTTTGCATATTACAATTGCTATAATGTAAAAATATGATTGGCAAGTGCTTCTGTCTCGCAGAAAGGATGATTAAAATGAACTTTAATAATAAAAAAATTACCTTTGTTGTTACAAGCTATCCATTTCACATTCTGTGCGAAGCTGACTTCCCTCCCAATAAGGTATGTAAAAACACGGACCTGTGAAATGAGATCACAAGCATTAGAATGTAATATTAAAAACAAACCAGCACTCTATATTATTAATCTTTCATTTTAGAAAACCCTGGACAAGATCCTTATTTATCTTATTCTTTCTGCCAAATGCAATTCTCAGATCCTGCCATGTCACCTTGTATCTCTGAGCTAAAGAGCCCCCACCAAATAAGGTAGTCCTCATGTAAATATAAAAGGGACACTGTGGCTCAGTGGCTAAGACGTTGAGCTTGTCAATCGAAAGGTCAGCAGTTCAGCGGTTCGAATCCCTAGTGCCGCATAATGGGGTGAGCTCCTGTTACTTGTCCCAGCTTCTGCCAACCTAGCAGTTCGAAAGCATGTAAAAAAAATGCAAGTAGAAAAATAGGGACCACCTTTGGTGGGAAGGTAACAGTGTTCCGTGCACCTTTGGCATTTAGTCATGCTGGCCACATGACCACGGAGACATCTTCGGACCGTGCTGGCTCTTCGGCTTTGAAACGGAGATGAGCACCGCCCCCTAGAGTCAGGAACAATTAACACATATGTGCGAGGGGAACCTTTACCTTTATGTAAATATAGGAATAAGAGTATGTGGCAATAATTTAATTTGAATTCATGGAATAGCTAAGCCAGATCTAGATAGTACTTAGATGGGAAGGGAGCAGGAAATCTCAGGGCAATAGGCTAAGTGAAAATTTAAAAAAAAAAACCCTGAAAAGAAACAATGACACACAGGACTTCTATGCAAAAAACCTTACATGGATGTTTGTCCATGGAGTCACTAAGAATGTAACTCAACTTGAAGAGGTCTTTACTTTTATAAGTTTGTGGGAAATAATAAGAGATGAACCAAAGGAAGGAGTCAAATACAATTTGCCACAACATTTTTAAACAGTAATTTCAAGCTAACAGCTGTCATTATCTTACAGAGATTGTTACTGTGATTTGTTATGAGTTTTGACTTAGCATATCTGTGAACTCAACCAACTGTGATTGATTCAACAAACCATTAATAACCAGTTTCTTAAAATAGCTTGGGAACCTTTCACTCCCATCGCGTTTCTCTAAAACTCATTTAAATATTCATTTTTTGTTCTGCTACATAAAAAAATAAATATAGTGACCTGTCGCTAAACCTAGACCAATCTCATTAAGATTAGTGAGTTCCATCCATAATTATCTCAAGCAAAATTTTAGCTAGGAACCTAAGCGTCTCCATGCTATTCATTGTTTTGTTCCCTGCTCATGATTCATACCAGACCAGTTGATTTTCTACGCTCTTCTCTGTTTTTCACTTTGGAAGCTAACCTTACGATCAGGCCAGTTGAATTTTTCAAAGACATATTCATAATCTTCCATAGCTCCATCAGTGAGCAGCATGATTGCTTGGTTGCAAAGGCCTCCTTGTCCTGCATCTCTGAACTGCAAACAGAACAAACCACAATGAAGTCATGTACAGAGATACCCATCTCCCTTGGCACAAATAGTATAGCAGATTAATGAAGTCCTCCGTTAAGCCTCAGCAGCTCCTATCTGTCATACTGATAGGTGTGCTCAAACATAATGTTGTTAATGATATCCCGATTTATTCATTTATTTTTATCCTGCCTTTATTATTTTTAGAAATAACTTAAGGCAGGAAACATGCCTTTCTCTTCATATTTTCCTCACAACAATATTGCTGTGAAGTGGATTCGGCTGAGAGGGAGTAATTGGTTCATATTCACCCAACTGGCTTTCATTTCTAAGGTAGGGCTAGAACTCAAAGTGTCACGGTTTCTTGCCTGGTGCCTTAACCACTAGACTAAAAAAAGGAATAATAAAATAAAAATAGATAAAATAAAATAAATAAAATAGTTCATAAAGGTCTTCCTACTTTTGTGATAGATAGTTCTATGATTATTTATGGTGGAAGGAAAAAAATGTTGGTCATACCAGTAACATATTTCATGATAATTTGTAGGAAGCAAATATTAGCTATAAAATGCATAAAAACAATCCAGGCACTGAGACCCAATATACCCACCTTGAATTCAGTTATGTTCCAAAAGATTACAGAAGTCTATTACCTAGACCAGTGATGGCTAACCTTTTTATTATTCCGTGCCAGGAGGGGGTGTGTGGGTGGGGGTCACGCACGCGCATGTGCCCATACCCATAATTCTACACATCCTACCCCCAAGCACGCGACCCCCACATGCTCCCCACACTCCTGGCACGCAATGGCACGGTAGGCCCATTTTTTGCTCTCCCCAGCCTCCAGAGCCTTTCTAGGAGTCTGGGGAGGGCAAAAATGGCTTCTCCCCCTGGAGGCCAAAAACGGCCCGTTTGCCAACTTCCGGTGGGACTGGAAGATCCGTTGTTTTGCTCTCCAGAGCCTTTCTAGGTCCTACCAGACGTTGGCAAATGGGCTGTTTCTGGCCTCCGGAGGGCCTTGGGGGTGGGGAGGCCATTTTCTCCCTTCCCAGACTCCTAGAAAGGCTCTGGAGCCTGGGGAGAGAGAAAAACGGGCCTTCACCACCACCCACCGAGGTCCTCCAGAGGCAGGAAATCAGTTGCATGCACGCCAGAGCTGAGTTCGCGTGCCCACCGATATGGCTACATAGGCCATAGGTTCGCCATCACGGACCTAGACTTTCCAAAAATAAAAACAAGACTTTTGCCTAATCTAAATATTTCTGGTGGATGTAAGGTTGCTGGTATCCTTATCATTATATGTACATTATTGGTATTCCTCTTTGTAGCCTCCAACTAAGGTGACTCTGGTGATCTGATGCTAATTAAATGTAATGTCTCCTAGCTTGTCTATTCCTTCCTGAAATAGCATTTGCTACACATCATCTGAAAGTTTGAGTGGAATATTCTATGCCAGATGCAGGTTTTAAACTGTGCGAATGAACCAGACCCAGGGAATATACTAGGTTTAATTAAATAAAGTAATTAGGCCTTAGCATTCCAAAGCTTTTGCTCTCACCTTCTCTAATACCATCCTTCTAACCCTTTCTACCTCTTCTATCACTAGGAAAGCAGACCTAACCAAATATATTATCCTCTTGAACAAATATGAAATTGAAAAGTTATAGATATGATTAAACACAAAAGCCAACTCAGTGGTCTCCCTCCTGAAGAAACAGAGTTTCAGGTTAATCAAGACCTGATCTATTAGGATCATCTAGTCCCATGGGAGCTTTGCAATATGGGTTGTTTTTATTCCCCAAACCACTCCTAATACCTATTTTGGTCACAGCGACAGAACTGTTTTATTGCTATCCTGAGTCCAGAGGTGAAATGCTCCCAGTTCAGACCGGATCACTCGATTTGGTAGCGATGGCGGCGGGTGGATCAGAGAACCGGTAGCAAAAATCCCTGCCACCCCCCATGCCCGGCTGAGCCACGCGATCATTAGAGGCTTTTTTTTTACTTTTAAAAGCATTTTTTCTTTGGCCGAAAAAAAGCTTTTAAAAGTAAAAAAAAAAAGCCTCTGATAATCGCGCAGCTCAGCTGGAATCGTCAGAGCCTTTTAAAAGCTTTTTAAAAGGGTAATGTGACTGGGTGGGCATGGCCAACTTTTTTTTTAACTTTTAAAAACATTTTTTCTACAACCTCTTCAGCAGAAGAGGTTGTAAAAAAAATGCTTTTAAAAAGCTCTGACGATCCCAGCTGAGTTGCCTGATCATCAGAGGGTTTTGTTTTCTTTTAAACGCATTTTTTTTTTTGCTTTTAAAAGAAAAAAAAAGCCTCTGATGATCAGGCAACCCAGCTGGGATCGTCAGAGCCTTTTAAAAGCATTTTTTTTACAACCTCTTGAAGAGGTTGTAGAAAAAATGTTTTTAAAAGTTAAAAAAAAAGTTGGCCATGCCCACCCAGTCACATTACCCCCTCCCACCAAGCCACGCCCACAGAACCAGTAGTAACAAATTTTACATTTCACCACTGCCCGAGTCCAACACATAATAAACATGAACAAGCAAATCATCATTCTTAAAATAATACTGTCCAACCTGGTCTGCAGTTTGAAACAACATGTTCATCAGCAGGTTTTGGCAATGTCACAAAGAGTATCTGTCACTATTATCTTTCTTTTCTTCCTTTTCCTTCAATGATTTGCAATAATCAGCACAATGCTGCGAAAGCCAGTGTGCCTTTAAAAAGAAAGAGAGAAGCAGCCTTACCTCCCTCAGGATTTTGAAGGATTCAGTCAGGGCTTTGTTCACCTTCCCAACTCCTTTTGCTTGTAACTCGTGCACCAGCTGCTTGAAATGCTGAGCAAATGAGACATTAAAAGCACTTTAATAGCAGTGATTAGAAATATTTGACAAAGGATAATACAGGAATGTCAAAACTTTAGAAAACTACTCAAAGAATAGAGATCTCTAGCGCAAGCTATATATGAAGGAACCTTGGTAACATTATCAGTGCTAGTCTAGACTAATGTTAGACTAGCATTGATGATGTTACCTAGAATGGGAAATGAAAATATAGCCTATTGAGCTATTAGAATCAATAAGACCTAAGTGGAAAAAGTAGGCCCTAAAAAGCTACATGAACCAAAGTTTTAGATGGAAAGATTTCAAAGTGTATCAGAACTATTTGTAATCCTGCTGAACCGTTGCTGTGAAATATGATTTTGCAAAGTATGTAGTTTTGAAATATATTTGGACATAAAAGGACGAAACCCCAAGAAATAAGGAACCGAAAGTAGCCGATGGATAGAGGTTTGAGATGTACATGGGCATATGTGGAGACTGTCTGTCAGTAAGAAAGAACAAGGAAGTAAGTTGTGAAATGCGTGCAGAAAAGTATAAAAAGAATGTCTTGAGATGAGTTCAGGGCCATTGGCCATAGCTACTCCTTGCTGGGCTCAGCTATGTCAGTGGACCTCATTGCAATGGGTCATTGATATAAATTGTGTTATGATGGCGTTCAGGTTCCAAATTGCTCATGAAATAAACCTCTGAATCTTAAAGTAAGAATTGTTTATTGTGCTACTGTCTCTTGTTTCTTTATTGGGATACTTTTATGACACTAGTTTGGGTAATGAAACAACTGCAAGAAAATAGCCAAGTTCAGAGAGCACCAAGGACCCCCTCATTTCAATCTTGAGCTATCAATATTCTCCTTTTTTGTCAAACTATAGTATATATTTCAGCACTAGGACAGCTCCATAATTTGAGTTACCCGAAATAATGCAGTACTTTCCAGTGAAGGCAACAGCAATATGAAGCTGCTACTACGGTAGTACAGAAAGATCGATGCATTTCCCCCTTCTCCTACTTTTTTCTATACAGATTATCCTTGATTTATGACCAGTTATTGAACAACTGTTCAAGGTTATAACGGACCTCCCCAGAGTTTCTTATGTTCCGTTTTTGAAGTTATGCGGACTGCACCCCCATGATCACTCAACTGCATTTTGGGCTCTTGGCAAGTGGCTCAGCTTTACAGGGGTTTCTGATGTCCTGCAGGCATAGGACCATGATTTGCAACATTTTTTTTTTTTTGCCAGTTTCTAGCATTTACTTCTAGTTTCTGGTAAAAAAAAAAAAGCCCATTGGGGAAAATGGATATACTTAACAATTGTAATGTTCATTTAATGACCACAACAAAAAATGTTGAAAAATGAGGTCCAGTCATGGGATGCCTAACTTACAACCATAATGACTTACAATAAAAAAATCTTTTCTCAAATGGGGTCATAAGTTGAGGACTCCCTGTATGGCCTCTGTGTCTGCTGCTTCCTACAGTGACCTCAGGAAATCCTGCCCCTGACCTTCCCACTGCCTACTTTCTCCATTCCCTTACCTCCCTCTGGGCTGCCTTTGAAATCAGCATCTTGGTCTGTGCCCCTGTTCTTTATTGCAACAATCTCAGAAATCGCCAGCTTGGTACATCCTACTGGTCCAGCTGTCTCCTCATTATTACAGTATTCAAGTCAAGCTTTCTTTCTTGTTTTTCTTTTCCAGATCTAGAAGTTGTCTTTAACCCCAAACCTCATGATGAAATTCACAATTTCTTTACAATATTAATATTTCTTATTCTCTGGGAGACTTGATATTACCAATTAAAATAATGTAATCATGATTTAATCCCTCTTAATTGTAGTTATTGGAGGGCCACTGCTTTTTTTTAAAAAAAAAACATTTCACATTTTCTCAAATACATAGATTTTATGGTTCTTTGGTTGAGGAAATATAAATTTGTGGTGAAAAAGCATCCAGGGCTTTGATTTTTCTTAGTTATCATATTTTTTTCTCCTTCCTTTTAAAACAAGCAAGCAAGGAAACAAAATTAAAGGAAAAATTATAAGGTGGGAGGATATAGGGAGGCATACTGGCTGGGGAATTCTCGGAGTTGAAGTCCACACATCTTGTCAAGTTGGAAAAATGCTGCTCTAGATATTTTGGATTCTGCATTTCTAGCTTCCGATCGTGTGGATTAGAATCCAGTATTATGTTTAGGGTTACTAAATGGGTTTAGATGACTGAACTACTTAGCTAGCATTTGGATATATAAAAATAGCCACAGAATTCACAGGGGCAGAAAAAAAGCATTGGTTAAATATGTTTTATAACAGTTTATGGGCCTTTAAATCCCCAGTGTTTATATGCCATATTCAGAAGAGAATGTCTTTTCAAGTTTAATACTTACCTCCCTGTTATCTCTGTCAGCTTGAACCAGGATTCCCTTGAAACACGATTCAATGTAATGAACATAGTCATTGTACTGTAAAGACAAAAGGAGGAAAATTACATGCTGTAAAAAGAAATGTTTTAAAAGAACTCTGAAAGCAGATTTTATACCGAATAAAAAAGACCCCCTTTTAGCTACATGTTCGCTTTCAGAGCAAGGAATACATTTTAAAATGCAAAGTGTTACAAAACAATTTTTGTTGCCTTTTGGGAAGCAAATCAGTAAGCATAGATGTGTAGGACATAATTCAGTAATTTTCATTGATATTTAAATAGTACATAGGGGAAAGAAAAATGTAAATTAAGAAGAAAATAATCTTGGCTACATCTGCCTGTGTGTCTTTCCTTCATCTGTTTTTCAGTTTTATAGAATAACAGAGTTGGAAGGGACCTTGGAGGTCTTCTAGTCCAACCCCCTGCTTAGGCAGGAAACCCTACACCATTTGAGACAAATGATTATCCAACGTCTTCTTTAAAACTTGTTGGAGCATTCACAACTTCTGGAAGCAAGTTCTTCCACTGATTAATTGTTCTAAGTGTCAGGAAATTTCTCCTTAGTTCTAAGTTGCTTCTCTCCTTGATTAGTTTCCACCCATTGCTTTGTAAGGTCCGGCTATACGCTTAAGCTCTCAGTGAACCAAAAAGAAAGACTTAAACGGAGGCTTGAATAAGAATCAACATTTAATCTTTGATCAAAGACAAAAGGCTGGGTAAAACCATTCCAAACACATACAAAGAGATATGTATATGGGAGGGTTCACACCTTCAGAGAAGATGTAACCACTTTTTATACCTTTAAAGCACCGGTTAGATCCCTAACTCTGGCCCCTTAATTTATGTTTGTGTATTCTTTGTTACCCTGCAAAGGAATCGAAACTTCCAATTAGTCTTATCTTAAGCATTTCTTTGTTTACTTAATTGGCTACTTAGCCCCTGGCTCTGGAAGACCAGATCTTATCCAGATCAGGCATAAATTAGGACTGAGGTATAGTTTATTCCTTTGTTGATGGCTAGTCGTACCATGCTTTTAGATTGATATGAGTTCAGGTCAAATGGCAGGGACATACGTTTGACAAATACCAGATACATTTCAGAGATACATACATTTTCCTAATGACAATATGTTTGTAACAGGAGATAAAATAGAAAGGAATAATATATGTGATACAAAAAGCACAATATATATGTTACAGGAACCTAATGATTACAGAATAACACGCTTTTACTAAATCTAGTATATCAGTATATTATTTTCTATCTTTATTATTGTTTCCCTACAGCTTCTTGTCCTACCCTCAGGTGCTTTGAATTACAATTTCTAGTATTTTGCTCCTTATTAGCCTTGCACTCCTCTTAATGCTGAATCAGGCAGCTTTGTTTGCTTTTGATAATGTTCTGGGTGCCCCTTCTTCCCTTAATTGGTAGTAGTCAACACGAGAGGGGTAAAATCCATAAGGAAACCAAGGAGACCTATTTATCATAATAGCTCTTTGGCAGTGAAAGTCGTGATTCAGAGAGGTGGTGGGCTTGCTTTCACTGAAAGAGCTCAAGCAAAGGCTACATGGACCCCTGTCTGGAATACCTTTATTTGGGTTCCTGCACCCAAAGTTCTAAGTGTCTCCTTCTACTCTCTGAATGTTCAGTCCCACCTCCTTGCCTCAAAGATGTATAATAAGAATTGCTCCTGAGGAATGCTGGTAAAGATCAAGAAGGAAGGGTGCAGAGCAGTGGTGAAATTCAATTTTTTTTACTACCAGTTCTGTGGGTGTGGCTTGGTGGGCGTAGCTTGGTGGGCATGGCAGAGGAAGGATACTGCAAAATCTCCATTCCCACCCCACTCCAGGGGAAGGATACTGCAAAATCCCCATTTCCTCCCCACTCCTGGGGGAAGGATATTGCAAAATCCCCATTCCCACCCCACTCTGGGGCCAGCCAGAGGTGGTATTTGCTGGTTCTCCAAACTGCTCAAAATATCCAGTACCGGTTCTCTGAACTGCTCAAAATTTCCGCTACCGGTTCTCCAGAACCTGTCAGAACCTGCTGGATTTCACCTCTGGGGCAGAGGCTGATGCCTGAATTAGTCTGTCACCATGTTCTTTCTCTTGTTTTGGAAACATAGCTCATGATATTATTCTGCTTTTATCCCAGCAACATATTGCTGTTCTGTTTCCATACTGGAAAAATCAATACCTCGGGTCAGATGTAGAAATGGAAACCAATCTGATGATAATAATAATGATGATCTACTCTAGATTTACTGCTACAGTCAGAATAGTTTGGCTCCTCTATAGTAGAATAAGAATACTCTTCATTCTGCTAGTTTTCTCAGGTCTTTTATGGATACTCCAAATACAAAGGCCTGTCTTGTCAAAGAGTGGTGAATGCTAAGTTTCAGGGGAGGAGGGTGCTTGAAGTTTCTTTGTTGTTGGGGGGGGCAAACTCAAGTCCCCATGGAAGACGATACCGTAAGAAAAAATATTTCATACTCCCAAGCTGAGGAATTTTAAAGAAATTGATTGTCCAATTGTGGTTAAATTCTATAACTTGCTCTTAACTCTGAACCAGGGGTGAAATCCAGCAGGTTCTGACAGATTCTGGAGAACTGGTAGCATAAATTTTGAGTAGTCCAGAGAACCAGCAAATACCACCTCTGGCTGGCTCCAGAGTGGGGTGGGAATGGAGATTTTGCAGTATCCTTCCCCTGCCATGCCCACCAAGCCACACCCACCAAGCCACACCACACCACGGCCATCAACCACGCCCACAGAACCGGTAGTAAAAAAATTTGGATTTCACCACTGCTCTGAACTACCTGAAAGGCAAAATTATTTTGCCAGGGAAACTGACAAGATGGCTGTATTAACTTCCTGACCAAAATAAAAAATAAAAAGTAAAAAAAATCACAGTTATGCTTGCAAACTTCAGTCAAGAAGACTCACTTATCCGTAGGATTATATTCAGAGCAGGCTGGTCTGCCCTTCTAGGCAGGGTGCCTATATCAATGGGCTGGATTATCTGAAATGATCACTGCCATTATTTCAAGGCAGTTGATTTAATGGCCATGATGGCCAGGGGTGATGGCAATTGTAATCCAGGACAAATCTCATGGGCACCATAGTGGAGACAACTGTTGAGGGAGTCCTGTTTTATAGTGCAGCAGCTCGAGACAGTGCGCCACAGTCCCAAAGGATTGGTTTCTGCTACTCAAAACTGCTATAAACAAGAGCATGAAGGAAGCCCTAATGCAGGGACTAAATAGACAAAGATGGAAAGGCTGCAGATCAACAAAGAAATGAACAGAAAGACCCAGGAAAAAAACACAAGATCAACACAAAGATGACAAACAGATTACATGAAACCTACCTGCTGAGTTATTTTATCTATCGCTACAAGTGATATCACTGTGCACCAGGGGTGCTATTCAGCAGGTTCTGAGAGGTTCTGGAGAACCAGTAGCGGAAATTTTGAGTAGTTTGGAGAACCGGCAAATACCACCTCTGGCTGGCCCCAGAGTGGGGTGGGAATGAAGTTTTTGCAATATCCTTCTCCTAGGAGTGGGGAGGGAACGGGGATTTTGCAGTATCCTTTGCCTGGAGTGGAGTGGGAATCAGGGGTGGGTTCTAAATTTTTTTACTACCGGTTCTGTGGGTGTGGCTTATTTTGTGGGTGTGGGTTGGAGGTCATGTGACTAGGTGGGCGTGGCTAGCTGGTCAGTCATTTCTGGAAGGTCCTCATACTTACAACCAGTCCTCGCACTTACGACCTGACTCATTTGTTTGCTTTTAACACTGATCAGCTGTAGGACGGCCCTTTGAAGCCCCGCGGCAAGAGTTTAAACAGTTTTTTTCCCTCTAGTCATCAGCTGGGACTCAGGAGGCAGCAATAGATTGGGGGTGGGACCAAATAAAAGGTAAGAATAATGTGGGGCGGGAGGGGGGAGAGAACTGGTTCGGTGACGTCATATCGTCACCGCTACCGGCTCAGCCGAACCGGACCGAACCGGGAGGAACCCACCACTGGTGGGAATGGAGTTTTTGCAGTATCTTTCCCCCAGGAATGGGGTGGGAATGGAGATTTTGCAGTATCCTTCCCCTGCCATGCCCACCAAGCCACACCACGCCCACTAAGCCAGGCCCACAGAATCGGTAGTAAAAAAAATTGAATTCCACCACTGGACTAGATAGACAAAGATGGAAAGGCTGCAGATCAACAAAGAAATGAACAGAAAGGCCCAGAAAGGAAAACAAACAAACAAGAGAAACACAAAGATGACAAGCAGGTTACATACGACCTACCTGCGGAGTTCTTTTATGTATTGCTACAAGTAATATCACTGTGCACCATTGTTAAAGTACAAGACAGTTCTTTACCTCGGGTGGCTTAAAATCTAACATCCATGAAAGGGAACAGAAAAGGAGAAAAGGAGGCAAACAGAGACCGGGTTTCACCAAGTATGGTTATATATTTGTTTCAGCTGCACAAGCTTCAGCTTAGTGACAGGCTAAGTTATTGAGAGAGATCAGAAATTACTTCAGGGCTCCAAATCAGGCAGAGTGGAGGAACAATGTATTGGTTAGTGAGCCAAGTGCTGCGATAGCACAGTGGGGCTACCTAGGGATATTCCCACTTTTGCTCTGCTAAAGATCTCACTTCCATATCTCCACAAATCCATCTTTTAAGGATGACATGCCAGGGTTGCCCCTGTTGTGGCTCCGTTGCCTGAGCCTGGGCTATCGACAGATGCAGACTCTGAGAGTGAGGGAGAGGAGTTGGCAAGGCCTCCCTCTCCAGGACCCTCCTCTCTGGCAATGCCTCCGGAGGACACCGAAGCCCAAAAGATAGGCCCAAAGCCAAGCACGTCCCCGCAGCCACAGGTGGACAGTGACGAAGGAGATAAGTGCTGGCTGGACCCTCGGCAGAGGCGCAGGGAGAAGCGTGCGCAGCAGAGGGGAAGGCGTCCCAGAGATTAGCTGAGTCACTGGACCACACCCCAGGGTATAAATGTG